AATTCACCTGCTTTGGTTTGGGCAACGTGGCAGTGTTCCTTCCACATGCAACTCATGGAAGCTGTTTTCTTTTAAAAAGATTATTGTGACGTGATTTAGTTGGTACACTGTCTGCCTTCAAACATTTGCCAAATATAATGTGTAAAAGTAGAGAGCAAACAAACATTTTGCTGTTGACGCACGTAAGAATCATATCAGCTTTTGCGGTCTATCAGATGGCGTGTCACTTATGGATGAATCCCGGTACATGTTGCGGGAAATCTTGTAAATTCTATCCTTGTCAAGTTGCAGTAGCAAAATAGTCGTTTTACTGACATTATGTTGAACCCCGCTCGCAATATGCCAGAAAGCTCTGTTATGAAACTGCTCTACCAATGGGATAACTCAGCATTCATTCAAATCGAAAGGTGTGATTTAGCTTAGGGGAAAAAGTTAAAGAAGTTGCGACCGGTGTGTAAGTTTGTGTAAGGTTGTGCTGTAACGTGAGACACAAAAACGAAACCGCTGGCCACTGTAGCAATGAGTCAATTAAGAAATATTAATCTATGCCAAAACCTGCGTGTGGTCATTTAGGTTTAAGGGAGCGAGGTCCTCTACTAACGTAATTAGGACTACCGTTTGCATATTTGCGGTTAGCCTTTAAATAAAATGTGGCGGTGGTGGCCAGGTGGTTAGGTTATCAAATTGTGACCTGGGAGTCACGGGTTCGAAACGCTCCACGGCCGCCTGCCTTCCCAGGCAGCCTTTGAATGGCCGCGGCCCTCCTTCCTGAATGTTGTTTGTACATTTGTATATTCAATAGATAAAAANTGTACATTTGTATATTCAATAGATAAAAAAGGAAGTAAAAATACGAAACGATCGTTGACTTTATATTTGTTGTGTTCAAACGTTCAAAGTCGTCTAGCTCGATTTGCGAAGGTTCGAAGGAGTCGCTGTGTACAGGGCCAAATTTTGAATGTGGAAGTATTTCATATTCCTTGTTCACATCGAGTAAACCCAACTGGAAATAGAACCATCCTGTCTGCGAGCCATGTGTACGTCTTTGAACAGTTTTTGGTTAGCAGACGTTTTCTCTAGTGTGAGTCAAACGGATTGAAATCTGTCACTTTTCGTTTCGATTTGTAGTTTCAAAATTAGCCATGTCCTTATCAATCATGATTGTAATCGTTTGCCGGCCTTTCGATACATCGTCAGTTTATTGACAAACCTTCCCTGAAATCAGTGGACTGCTATTAGTTATGTAGAAGCAGTGTTTCTTACATAATGAATCACTCATGTTTATTCGTAAGTGGAAATTGATAAACTAATTGATTTACAAAATACTTGGCAGTGTTAAAGAGTAGTTACCAATAAACAGGTCTTTATTTTGTTTGCCTTGATTAAAACAAACTAAGTTTGTCCCAAAATATTTACAAGAATTAGATTGAGAAATCACCAACCGCCAATAGTACAGCACAAATGGCAAACTCATGAAGTAGAAACGGTCACCTTCCAATTCAGTAAAAGCGCAAAGTCTGGGCAAACAAAATAGCTTACAGTAAATAGGTTATTTCATGATGTGATTCCGGAAATAATACATTCTAATAAAAAAAACTTTCAACCTGGAATACAACTATCAAAATGTTGTGAGTCGTCAGTGGTTGTTATTCAGTCATGTCCGCTTTCAGCTATATTGATTTTCTTTAAAGATAGAAGATTTCACAAATCATAATTGAATGCGTTGGGGGTTGTTTTACTACTCGGTCGCCTTGTCCACACTAGTTCTTGTTAGAAGGTGCACTCTAGTCTTTGCGCAACCAAGCGCAAACTGCAAGGCAGCCGCGATATTCCAAATCAGAGAGTGGTCAGTATTTGTTTAATTCGGCTCTTCTAGAAGACCTTGCCGAATAATGGATTTCGACCAGGGATAAGCGGTCGTAGTTAGTGGCGGGGCACTCACTACGTCGCTCATGTGTGGTGTTTTGTGTGGAGAAAACTTATCAGGAGGGCACTGCCGCTGATAGTTCATGACCGCTTATTTTGGAGGCCTAAGCCCATCTAATTCATTGTTAGCTTCGAGATGAAGGCTATTCCCTTTTCTTTTACCTACAGACGCACTCCGTAGGATGCAGCTCTGCTCTCTTTCACCGTACACACCTCAGTACTAACTCCACCTCGCCCATTTTACCCTAAACCCATCACACACCATCTCTACCGGGTTATTCAGAGGATCGAGCTAACAGTCGTGTCTTGGATGGAAATGCTGTT